ATCAGCCAACCGGGCCCCTGAACTAGACTGACTTCCTAATTTGATTTCGCCGCGCGCGCGCCCAAATCCCAATTAGGAAAGGTATGATAAGGCCCCCTTTATATTATAAACAAGGACTTCTTTCAGACCTTCTCTTCTTCATGCAACGTCTTGACTTTTGTACAATACTTAGTACAGCACTGCCGAATAGATAGTTGATAATCTCATTAGTTCACTTCACGTGATAACTTGAGTAAATCGCTTCTAGTGGTTCCGTGACAGAGGACACATGTCATCTTACTAGCCTTAGAAAGTCTGGCATAGCCCTAACCCGCTGAAACGGAATATAAATGGACGTTATCATTAAAGGTGTCTATATACATCTATCTACGGCGTTGTCTTTTATTTGGGCTAAGCGATGACCACGCGTCTGATGCTTTATGTGCTGCAGCACGCTTAGACCGCAATACTGGTGTACTATAGGCGGTGATCTTTGAGCCTGAACTTGTGCAAATCTTTCAGTGTAGAAGGCATCTTTGTCTCCAAAATGAAAGTTCCACGCCATAGTTGAGGTGCAATCAGCATAGATTCCATAGGTACTTAGTGCTATATGCCGTGCCTCAACTAACTTAGGTGGATCGTCTTCCTGTCTGGTCTTCTGTAAATGACTAAAGACTGCGGACATATTGTGTAGGCTATTTAGAACTGGTTGATGTCGACGGCGTTTAATATCTGCTAAGAACTCCTCTAAAGATAGAGGCTGCCATAAAGATTGTTGTTGTGGTGGTTGTGGTAGCTGTGGCGGTTGTGGCGGTGGTGATGATGGGGCTTCAGTAACAGATACTGTGACAGAAATTGGTAAAGAATGAATAGAAGCAGTTGGCGAGGAGAGCGGAGTTGACACTGGCCCAGCTGTTACTGGGATTGATATAGACATAGATGTTATTATAGGATTTTTTGTAGATCGTATGTGCGGAGCCATAGATATAGTAACCTATATACTAGTTGATAAGGCTTCGGCTGGTGTCTGTCCTTCTTTCTGGTTTATAGGGTTAGATCATGGTATAGAGCGCTTAAATGCTGACAGATCTTGGCAAGTTGATGATTGGCTCTTCTTCTGTGCTCCTCTTGTATTAGCTAGAAGTGGCTCAAGGATAAACTGGTGTGGTCTCGGTGAAGGTATTTGAATAGACTCTCCATGTGTATGCTGATAATGCTAGTGATCGTCACATGTATAGTGCAGAGGTAAAGGCCTATAACTTATTGCTATTTGCAGTCCATGGCGACACAGAAGGCCATTTATCCTCTCAAAAAGACCTACTATTTAATAGCTAATAGACTATAGGGTTGTAAAGATATGCTGCAATGCAATGTTGTATGTCAGTGAGGACGGCCCTCTCTCTTTGGCGCTTATCCTTGATTGTTACGATCTAGGTTATTCTAGATTGCCCAATCACAGGACTTGCAGATACCAATGAGGATGGAGGCATTGGCTGGAAATCGCTCCTACAACAGCCACAAGGCTGATGGTGACTCTCTAGCATCCTTTAGCGGATTTTAAGAATGAGATAAGCATCGCGAGTATGTTTGCGGCGAGCTTTGACGGTATTAGGAGGAAATCCTTACTTCGGCTCAGAATAAGACGTTAAACAAACCAAGCGCGACCACGATGAGGTAACAAAATTCTCTAGGGGGTAGCCTGTAGAGTGTTTAACATAACCCAAAGTCTACGATCAATACCCAGGTATAGAATTTCTGGTGTTTAAGATTTGTTTAAGCCGTTTGTATCTAAAGTATTGGTAGGTGATCGGACAAGAAATTTATTATACAACACAATTGAGCAGTCTAGAATAACCCAGATCGTAACGGAGAACCATGGAGTTCCATTGCGATGTTCTGCCGATGCGGTGGAAAGTCCCCATACGATAGCCGTCCCTCAACAAATTCGCGAGCACATTTTTGGGCAATTTCTGGAGACATCTACCAGGGAAGATAAATTCATCTTCTCTAGCTTCACCGCCGAATATAAGGCCATCGGGAACGTCTATTTCATCCAGGGGGCAGAGTTTGGGCTGCACCTTCGGTCTTGGTCTTGATGAACTTTAGCGTTGTCGCGGGATGCCTTTGGTGGGGATGGCCCCCTCGCTTGTCCTGTACGAACTTTTCAATGGTCTTGTTCCAGTGGAAACATCAACGGTATCGCACAGCCATGGAAAGTTGAGGAGCAGCAGGAATGCTCTTGTCGTTCCTCGCGCAATGTATCGCCTATTTGAGCGAGAGATTGACTTTTATCTGTTCGCTGCGAAGCTGGCGTTAGAACAACTGCGCGTACCAGTGCAGAGCGGCTCTGTAGTTAGTATCTAAATTCAAAGGAGAGCGCCGTCAGCCACCACCAGGTCCTGTATCGATGGAGGCCAATAACAGCTCAAAAGAGGCTATTTATCGAGATACAGTGACTGTGGTGGGACCCATTGGAGCCGATACAACATTTTTCTCATGAACTCAAGAGAAGAAACTGGAGACATACTGTGTTTACTGGTCAGGAAAGTACCTTCTGAGTTGGATGTTTTGGCAGCAGACATTTCGCAAGAAGCTATCCAATCCTTTCTACAAATCGGGCAGTTAATGATGAAAATTTCTCGCCAAACGAACTTCCAGACCGCGAGGAGCGTAAATATTGCTCAGTCGCCCCCGTTCGGATTAAGGCGGTCATGATCACTGCGCCGACGACGACCGCGAGCAGGCTAGAACGTATCCTCTGGTTACGCTTCATTTTGACACCAAGAAAATGCCCTTTCTTTTATTCGTATTGCGCAAGATGCCCCTAATCGTGCAATTCCATGGCTCTGCACAGAGCTGTAGCGCCACCCTAGACTGTCATGAGCTTAGAAATTCTCTTCAGCATTGTTTTCCTATTATTTATTTATATAACATAACACGAAGGAGTCAGATATTGTGGGGATAAGGGAGATATGTCGATTTTCAGTTCGCTCATGGCAATCTAAAGCAAAGCAAAAGCCTTTACGTGGGCCATTCCAAAAACCTTTCGCAGATTAGGTACATTGATACGCACATATATTTAGGTCGTCTAAAAATAATGCAATTTCTGCTATAAGAGGTGATATTACGTCTCTGTATGGCTGCATATGATGGAGCAGATACCATGGCTGCATTTCAAAGTCAGGCAGCAGAGTCGCCAGCAACAATGACTCATGCTGAGCTTCAAACAATACTCGCTCAAATGAGTCACAGCATCTGCACTGTTACGAACCAGGTTCACGAATACGGCAAATTGCTTCAAGAGTGTCGAAGTAAAGTGGCCGAAGAGCAGAGAATATGCTCGATCTACGAGAGCCTCTATGCAGCAGAGTTAGCTGACCACGCAAAGAGTTCCCAAACTCTTCAGAAATTAACGCAGGTGTGCAGCAAGCTGCACGACGAAATTCACCGGGAAATAAGCCCAGATCGTAGGAGACTTGTCCCTCCCGAAGCACCAGAGTCCACGACTTCCGAGGCAGATGAAATTTACCATGACTCCGCCATGTTTATGGAACTTTTCGGGGAGGAGCTTCCTCTCGACTGTAATTATGATGATTTTTGGTCTCCAAAAACAATCAACGGCCTAGAAGATTGATGTTAGTTAAATGGATCAAAAGTTACATGTCGTTTATACAATTCAAATACGCGTTTTGACTTAGAGAGTTGATAGGCGTATGGAACGGAGTATAGTATTGCAGATGAATATAATAAAGTCAAATTCATCATTTCTAGCAAGGCTTGGAGCATATCGTAGAACGTATGGGACACCTTTGAGACGTACTACTTCACCTCGATTATGCAGAGAACCAACCAGTGAACGTAGAAGAAATAAGGATAGTGGTTATGGCGGCGATGTCCCCAAAGTACGTGTAAGAAACCTTACATAGAAGTAGCATGATCGCCCGAGTGCTGGGACACTGGATACGCGACCTGGCTGTACGCATGAGCGTGCCATAGCCGGATAACTAAGTTAGTTCTAAATTCGTAGGTACACGCCTATACCGCGGTGGCACCGGAACACCATCGGCTATTAGTTGCGTATATATACCTGAGATAGGCTGGGGAACCTTACTTCCCTAGCAATCACTCTACAATACTACTGCTAGCCCTCCTGTGTGCCACTCATTTTCCGTCATCTAGCCTGATTCCTTAACATCCATCCCCGTGCAACGGGCCACCCGGCGCAACATGCCACTTCATAGCTGAAAGCATCACCGGTCTCTAGTTCGTGAATATATAACGTTTTCATTAGTTAGAACCTATTATATAGCTGTTCGTCCATCTCAGTCAATAATTTATATTATAATCGACCGTCTGTTGGCGTGCCTACTGATCTTTTTGATGGCGCCGTTCGTTTCCGTAGCTGAAGTCTACCTCTGCTTTGACGCGATGAGAAGCGTATTAAGAAATTTTAATTTGCTAAGGATAAAATCCTTATACTGGTGAAAATAATATCTGAATCTAAAGGTAATACATGCTGGGGAAGATACAGTTCCATGGGTATAAAGCATTGGAAAAGAGACGAAACGAGAATTTAGCTTATTCGGGCGTACCGGTATCTGCCTCTTACGATGACTTCCTACGCTTCCAACTAGATCCTCCATTGTCCTCTGTTGCTACATCTGGCGCAACATTTTTTGGCTTTCTGCTGCCTTTACCCTTGCCTTTGGTATTTTTCGCAGCCTCTTTCTCTGCACGCTTTGATCGTGCTTCCTCAAAGTCCTTATAGCTTATAACCTTCGTCTTTCCTAGTATTTCTGATTTTTTTGATTACCGAACTTTGGCTTTGTTATTGATTTTGAGCAAAAATCGAATCTAGTCGTTCTGGATGGAGCTTTTGGCAAGACATGTTCGGGTGGCGCGGAATTCGCAGATGTTCTTACCGTAACTAAGCAGGGGTGACACGATCGCACCAGCTACGGTATCTGGGCTACAACCATATTGTTGACAGCACGCCTATGCTTAGTAATTCCCTTACTTCAAGGCTGCTTAGAGGTAGAGAAATAGCTAAAGGACCATGTTGTACTGTCTATGAATTTATATATCGACAACTCAATGATTAAGGCTTCATAAACCTTGCGAGTATTCCGTCTCAGGGTACGTTCCGTGACGCGGGGACAGACGTTAATGACAATTTAAATCAAATCAAATCGAATCAAATCAAATCAAATCAAATCAAATCAAATCAAATCAAATCAAATCCACCCGCAGTTCGGAGATCGTCAAGGGTGGCAAAGCAGTACAAATTGACCAACCATCACAGTAAGAGGGTGGAGTGGCAAAGTCGCATCTGTCACCTCCTCTTGGTGCCACCTGGTCAACTCAGTCTGGGGCTTGCTCTTATCTGAGGCTAAATAGAGCGCAATGTCAAAAAGGAGTGAGTACCAAATCCTCATCTAACTTATCTGGAGTTGTCTGGCAATCAGCGCACGCCCACAACTGATAGAGCCTCGCTTAACACACAATCTATTCAAGTGCTATGTTCTTATAAGAGAGTTATTGAGGAGGAACTTGGTGAGAAATAAATTGTTATGCTAAGGCAAGAGGCGGCTGTTACATAATTAAGAGAAGGAACGAGTTAGGAGAGTGCAGAGCACTGGCTTAATTGTCTCCTCCCTTTTCTCCTTTAGATTGGTATCTATGTCTAGAGATACTAGCCTGGAAGGAGGTTTTTTCATGTCTTTTCCCTTCTTTCTATGGGGTGAGACTGTCGGCTTTGGTTCCCAGCCCATATACAAATGTGCAGATTAGACGTTGTATCTCGAGGAGGACACATGTCATCTTACTAGCCTTAGAAAGTCTGGCATAGCCCTAACCGGCTGAAACGGACTATAAATGGACGTCATCATCATCATCATCATCACAGTAAGAGGGTGAAAAAAAATTCTTATATGTCTGGTGAAATATAACGAGTCGATAAAAGCTATATACTTGATTTAGAAATTAATATAGGTCTATAATTAGAGCAAGGGTTGAGAAATTCTGAAATACCGTATTTTAAAGCCTAGAAGGGAACAGGTAATTTTTTTTAATTCTAAGAACTTAAAGTTATATATATAAGTAGTTTAAATTAGTATCTAAAAATATTTCAAAAAATCTAGTACTCTATATGCGAAGTTTAAAGCGCTCAAAGTCGAAGTACTGATTGATTTTCTCGCCTCAGCATGATTCTCGCTATACAACGACAGACATTATGCCACAGACAAAGAATTGCCTAAACACATAACATTTTTGTAGAATTCTCTGAGACTAGTGCTTGAACCCTCTGGGTAGTGATACTCACCCTGTTTCCCACGTTGCCAACACCTAGACGACGTAGATTCTAAGATCCACGTACGAATATAGTTATATTTAGATGAAATCAAACTCATTTGGGACATGAATGGCCGTCTCTTTTGCATAATAAGAAATGTGCTCTTTATCCCAAAGTCCCGTGCTCACCATACGCAATAACCAACTAATAATCAAAATGATTCCCATTATTCAAGCTTGTGTTTCCACTGCGAAGATATTGTCTAGCCTCCCAAATAGCGTCCCTAGCTCCCTAAAAGTAGCAATGAATCCTCAATTTGAGGCCGTCGTCCCATCTACGTCTGTGGAATCCATAACAGCGGCCTCATTTAGCACAGTCTACATAGCTAATGCCTCCTCGACAAAGCCAAGTCCGTCGACCATTATCGGACCTCCAATCACAACAATGACCATTCTAGAAACAGCGAATACCACAATTATTCTTTCTCCAGACTTGATGAGTACAATTTCAGGCTCATGGGACGATAGTAGAGATGCATCGACTGTCACATCAACGGTACTTGGTCCTTGGACCTCGATTTACAGCGCAACCCAAACGGAAGTATACATGGCTATACCCACAGCAACTGTGACAGACCAAAATGCAATTGGTTTCGCAACGGTAGTCAATTACTGCCTGAATATTGTGTATCTGTGGGCTGTGGACCAAGACAGAAACCCTCAGATACCTATAGAACTTCAGCCAGGATATGCGTATATGGAACAGTACTACTTCCCACTTGAAGGGGGAGTGAGCTTAAAGTTAAATACTGAAAATGATATAGCCGGAAATATCACGCAATTCGAGTATACTGTTGATTATCAATATGGCGGATTCATCTGGTATGACGGCAGTAATGTGAACTGCTCACCAGGATCCTGCCCGTTCGATCAGAATGGCACACATCTGGCGGGAAACCTAGTCACCTGTGGGAGTCGAACATGCACACCCAATACCGTCAATTGCACTGGCTATTATCTCTATCCAACTGACGATAAAGCAGCAATGATGGGTTGTCCATGGAGTGCAAATGTGACAATGTTACTGTGCTATCCAAATACCGAAAACTTGTAAGATGATTACTGACAGCTTTACTAAATCAAAGTGACATGGTATTCGTTTGGTCTTCAAAAGCGATACTTGCTATCGCGTCAGAATAGCTATTTGAGGTGGTGATAGTTAATTGATAGTTTCTTTTCTATGCATCTACATACATCATCTTGGTTCCTATAGACAGTCACTCGAAATTGCTTGCTACAGGCTCGACCTCTTCACGGCTAGTAGCAACTCTTGCTATGATCACCCAAGTCAGGTAGACATCAACATTATATCTGCCTGTTAGGGTGCCCCACGGTAGCAGTATACACTGTACCATACCAGAAGATAAACGGTGTACCGTTTCTGGTAGTTGTTCTGGTAATATTAGTGTCAAAATTCATTAAGAAAATGATAAAAATTTATAGATTAAGAATTTAATATCTGTATATATAAGAAACACTATATAGAGGTAAGCTCCGCCAAAGCACCGGAGCACTAGGCAGACGACCCAAGGTATGCAGGGTCGTGCCAAACCAGTTAACATCTATCCCGGTTCAGAGGGCCGCCTGGCGCGACGGATGGCACCAGTGTATCGATAGGCAGGCATATCACCTACGGGATTAAGCTTGTTATAAAGTAGTATCTAGGAAGGTGAAATGGCTGTAAAATGTAATGAAGTAGTAAAAAGTCAATGTATCTAAGGAATACGTGCTTGCGTTATGGTGGTTGAGGACATCTATTTGATATATAAAAAGATGTACTGGAAGCTATAGCTATGAGTATTTTCGTGTTAGACTTTGAAAGCGATATGACTATAGAAGGAGAGAGATGGCACTGTACGCGCTAGGTTTCGTAGAGTCTGGCTTCCCGGACTTGCGCAGGACTGCAATGGTTGCTATTCTCCATGACCTTGGGTAGTGTCCGAGGCGAAGTGCTGCTTTAAATAGGGTAGTGATAATAGGCGATATATGTTTCCAGGTCTTCTTTATTTTTTCACCGATCGTAATTATTTCATTGGCATCCTCCAAACCCTTCTGCCCTATATGGCCAGTGTCATTGAATTCACGTTTATTTAGAACTTCTTCAATGTTTGCAGTGTCTACAGCAGTATCTGAGTCCAGTGCGATAATAAAGTCCGCAGACTTGTCAATCTCATATCTTGTTGTGCCGTCTCGGAGTGAGAACGGATATGCGAAACTGTGAGAGGGAAAGGATACATAAGAGCTAGTGTTGCAGTGGGCGGCTCGCATGATGTCCTTGTAATTACCGTTGAAGTCATGCGTGGGAAACTTGTGCAATATGGACATCGCACATAGACAGTCTGGGCGTTCCAACGCTGGACTAGAGCAAAAGCCATCCTTATGTCTCCACCAGTAGTAAATAGTTACATCTTCAAATGAAGCTTTAATGTATTGTTGAATATGCTCCATTATTCCGTTACTATAGGAACGTAGACGGTAGTAGTACGATTACTCGGGACAAAAATCTCAATTATCTGAGATTCTCAAGAACTTCTAAGCTGCAGAAGTGATCTCACTTAGATACTCTAGTTCCACATTAAGAATTTCCTGAAATACTCAAATCTTACATCTTCCCTTCCAGAATTTTAACATAAGAGGACATGATGTAGGCCGGCTTCCAGTGTGAACAGAATTCGATTATGTCTACGTGGTGTTAGGAATACTACATCATGGGAACGACTAAAGATAGTAACAGAGAGAACAGTTCATACTGTAAGGTCTAAATATATACGTTCGGTTCGGAATATAATAGATCGTGCTGAATGACTGTGCAAATATCTGAGAGCTTTCCGTCATCGAGATGGCTCACCACGCGAGAGAAGTTGCTCACACTGTTGAGATTCTGGGCGTAATCGTTCAAGGGCGCAAAAGAGGGATTGTGCAGCAATGTTACAATACCATTTGCCCTCTTGAGGAAATGATACACTATTACATTGCTACACGCCTTGAAAATGAAATTGATGAAATAGCATCAAGGTTACAAGGTTTAGACAGGTGACACAATTGTGTCCGCTTTGTATATTTCGCATCTAGAGACTTACCATGTGATACAGGGAGCCTAAGTTATGGGAAGTAAAAGATCTTGAACAGCGGTATAGTGATCCACACATTAATCGTTCTGGCATTCAACTTCTCAGGGACATCCACGGAGGTAGAATTAAGACCTTGCCCCGGAAAAAGGCTTTCCGTAAAACAGATCCCCCTCCACAGCAGGCCCATTACATTGACTTTGAAGGCCGAAAGGTCAAGACATTTAGGAACGGGGAACGCGTGAAAGTAACGAGCTTTAGAAAAATACGTGATGCGCACATGCAGCGATTAGAAGAGGCAGTAAAGGCCGAAAATATAGATCAAACTGGCATTTTGGAAGCAGAACGAGCTATCAATGAATACCTCCGAGAAAGGGACGATATTGTTGAAGCAGGACTGAACGGTCATAGCGACTTCGATGACATTTTAAGAAGTGCACATGTAATTCTTACAGCATATAAGCAACTCACGAAACAAGTTGAAACTCAAAACAAAGAGATATCTAAGCGTGAGAAGGAAATTGGTTTTCAAAGGAAAGCATTTAGACGGGCAGTATTTGTCCTTCAAAAAGGATTAAAACGTCCGTAATCTAGCTGAAAAGTGTTGTATTTACAGTAGAGTCTCGACAAGACTTGGCTCTAGGGTGCCCCACGGTAACAGTATTTACCGATCGGTACGGTATGGTTCGGTATACGGCACGGTAATCGGGACGGTATCACTGGCTGATGAGATTTGTCCCCCCGCTTTTGAGATTTTGTCCCCCTTTTGAGATTTGTCCCCCGCGCTAGTGCTAGTGGAAATCAATCACATAATTTAGCTTAGCATATAACGTCTGTCCGTGCGCAGCGAGAATCACGCCGTGGCGAGAAAATCAGTCGGTACTTCGACTTTGAGCGCGTTGCACCTTGCACACACCACACTGGATTTTTTGAAATATTTTTAGATATGAACTTGAACTACTTATACATAAGCAAAGGTTAATAGAATTCAAAATTACCTTTCGGTTGACACTATCGCGCCTGGCCCATTCTAGACTCTGAAATATTGCATTTTAGTATTTTCCTACCACTACGTTAATTATTAACCTGTACTAATTCCATATTTAATCTATAGCTTTGGATGGCCCATTAGATTTCACCAGAGATATAAGAAGAATTTATTCAGGCCTCTTACTGCGATGTTTGGCTAATTTGTACATTTTTGCCACCCTTGTCGGTACCTCCAAGCGGAGCGTGGGCCAATCCGGTTGTATTATTCAGATGAGTAAGCTGTGCACGTGGTGTGGCTGTGTGTCGCAAGGCAACACATGTTAAGGCCTCAGGCATTTCGAGACTGCAAGGAAGCTTGTCAATCAGTAACATGGAAAATTAATTCAAGTCCAGTTTTTCTGCTTCCCACGCAACTAACGGTTCGACTGAAGAGACTGTAAGACGATAGTTCAAGAACACGTGTGCGTTTTGAAACGCATTC